GTGCCACTGATCTGTGTGGCTCTTAGCTCTGCTGCCCTGCTGCTGGTGTGGAGGTGTCCGAGAGGGGCAGCCGGGCACCCCTGGAGCTGCCAGCTGAGTACTGCTGGTCCTGCAGAAGAAGCAGAGGGAGAAAGCAAGCCAGAATGGAGAATGACATACATAAAATATCTTAGACGTACACAGGGATGTTAACTCAAGAGGAAAGAATGATACCAAAAGAGTCTATGTGCAGTCAACAGAAGAGAAAAGGTGACTGCTGTGCCAAGACGCAGTGGAGGGAGACACTTTGAAGGCCTCCTTTGTTAGTCAAGACTTCATGAGGTCAGGGCAGCAGAAACAGCCAGAACTGACTGTCCCACAGTTTGGTTCTTGTCAGAACCATAGGAACAAACAGGAATTGACCGTTTTACTTTATGTGCACGCAGACGTACACACACAGAGTGATCCTGACTCCTGACCACTGGGGCCATCCTGCCACAGTGCCTGGATGGAAAAACCTCTTTGTGGCTTCTGATGCATGAGACTGGACCACACAGTTGAGTTGCTGGGTACCACACAGTTGAGTTGCTGGGTACCACACAGTCAGCCACACTGCCGTTTTAGGAGGCAGAGCGTGCAGATTTAACAGCTCCCCTCACCTGAAGAGGAGATTTTCTGCTCTTTCTCTGGCCCTGGCTGTGTTATTTCCCCCGCTAGACTCATGCCAGCACGATTGCTCATCAGATACACCATGAGTCACTTCAAGTTGCTAAAGTTGCAGGAAAAAACAGCAGCACACAAGAAAAGAGTTGAATCGTTTCCTGCTATTTTAATTTATTAAAACAGCTCTTGTGAGGGCTGGAGTCATTACTGGGCAGAGAAGAAAAGCGGTGACTGCCTGGCCAAGGGTAGGAGCTGCTAGAGTAAGGTCAGCTGCCTGTGGAGAGGACCCTTAGCAGCCTGCCTGGCTGCTTTGCTGGAGGTTTGAGCCCAAAACCATTGCTCAGTGGGTTAATACCATGGCAATAGCCCCACATGCATCTAGTATAGAAGGAAAAGAGAAAGGGAACAGTAGATTAATAGTATAAAGTGGAAGGCTGCTGTTACAGCAGGAAACCTACTCACAGAAAAAAAAAAAGACTGGATTCAAACAAAGTTGACAGGTACGATACATTGAAGTCACTAACCATTGCAAATTTAGATTTTTATGGAATGAATGAAACAACAGTTATCTGGAAAGCTCCAGCAACATCCACTGTCTTTTGGATTGCAGCCACTCTCCTTACCTTTGGCACTGAAGAGCAGTGCAGGAAAGAAGCATGGGAAAGGAAGTGGAAATTCAGGAGCCCAGACTGGAGTCTTGTTACTTGCTCAGTGTGCAGAGGGTTAGTTCCTAAAGCCAACTGTTGACTCTGCTAACTGAATCCGTGACATTTTAGATGGATCCCAAGATTTTGAACTCGCAAAAGGAAAAAATTACCAAACCGGGAGAGTTCTAATGTTTTCAGACCTCCTGTCATTTTACACTCAAGTCCTGCAATGCATTCATTGCTGCATGGGATTAAGGAGTAGTTGTAAAGATAAGCAACTTCCCTTTAGGAAGACCTTTTGGCAGTCTAGTTTCTGCAGCTATAACTTGAAGATGAGGTAGCTAAGCAGCCTGTGAAAGCAGGAACAGCACCACAGACTCACAACGTGGCTTTTAACTCAGCCGTCTCTGCCTGCAGGATGCAGTTTGCTGTAGATCACTGCTAGTATGTTAGTTAGCTAACGTTATGCTAGTTAGCTAACTAGTTATGCTAGTTAGTTAGCATACCTTGACAGAGCTAAGATTCAAAACTTAACTGTCCTTTTATTCCTTATTTCACAAGTCTGTCTATCCTGTTTATACTAGTATAGTAGATTCGGTATCAGCTTATAACTATCACAGATCAAGGTTTCATGAGGCTTTTGGGGTGTCCAGGTCATGATCTGAACATACTGTAGGGCTTAATATTTCCATCAAAGCCCTGATGATTGTACAAGGCTTTAGGGATTTCCACTCATTGTCTGCTACTTTCACAAACCCTGCTGGTTGTCATCATAGACCTGTAATTCACAGCTTTGCTCTGCATACTGCTCATCATTTTAGGATTTTCTTTAATACAAGAGGCTTTGTTCTTGCACTTCAAAAAAAATAATTAGTTCATGTGTTGCAAATAACTGGTGGAGTAACTGCTAATGGACCTCTCTCCATTGTTTAGTTACTCTGATCACTTCTATAGCAGGCATGTGTGAAACCTGTGGAGGTACATACAAAACCTGTCCAACCTGAATGCCCTGTCTAAGGAAATTTTTCAAGCACACCATGAAAGCATCTACTGCTGCAGTTAAAAATACAGTATGCCTACACTGATTGTATTTGTCATCCCAACAAAGTGATGTGTTCTGCCAGCCTTACTGCAGTACCAGCAGTCAGCTCAGTGAAGTTAAGAGGCTGTGTACAGAATTTGTGTGAATACATAGGAAGTTTTGGAGCAGCATCATTGAGGACTGGGGTCAGTTATAAATGTGGGGAGGTTAGCAGCAAGTGCCTTTGGTATCAGAAAATTGCCTTTTCTAAAGCTCAGCAATGTGACGTACAGGAAAAGTTGATGCTCAGTGGGTCAGGGTGCCTCAGCAGTCATAGATGAAAAAGAAATTCTGAAGGCAGCGGTAGGAGAAAGCTGGCTGGTCATGAATTCCCAACTTGAGTTCCCAAACATAGTTAAAATTTATGTTTCCTTAATCAAATGGTCTTTCCTCCCTGTGGACTTGTAAGAACTGCTTCCTGATGGAGCATCTATGAACACAGTAGTCAGCCCTGAAAAAGGGAAGTGGCTTTCTGCATCCAGCACTGTCCAAGGCCCCTGAGGACCTAAGCCAGCTCCCTGTATGTGGAAGGCATATTGTACAGCTCAGTTGAGCAGACAAGAAGTATCTGATCCAGTTTTAATGAATGTCCTGTACAGCTATTGCCCTTTACCAGGACTGTTCAAAATATTTTGAAAGTGATGACACTATACCCATTAAAACCTTTGAGTCTTTTGTCTGCATTGTTTGACTTTGATACAAGGAGTTCCAAATCCTGTCTCATGGACCAGGATTTAAAGTTCTCTTTACATTCAGCTTCACAAATATTTTCTTTGAAATATTTGAAGCCTCCTGAACAGGGTTATTGCCCTGCTTCACAGAAGTAGTTGTGCGGAAGGGTCACGGAAAAGGCATGTGGTCATGCAGAAATCAGCATCACCTCTGAAGATCACATACATAGAACTGCACGCTTAGTTCCTCCTCAACAAGAGCACTTTGTCTTCTCTGCCAGCTCTACCTAATTCTGTTTAGGATATGAAATCTGTATATGTATGTGTGTATACACACAAACTGGAACATGCTGAGCCTGGGATATTCCAGTCCCAGATACTACCACCACGGTCATTGCTCCCCTTTGTGCCTCTGGGATGCTTTGCAGGGCCACGATGTGGATGGGCTCGGTAGCTCCCTGCAGCTGCTTTAGCAGAAGTGACGGGACCAGTCTGGGTACAGGGGGGAGCAGAAACTCCTGACGTGGCCCCTGTCAAACCATTGCAAGCACCTCCCAGTGAAGAGCAAGTGGCAGCAGGAAGGTGCTCATTACCTCAACCCTCTGGGGAGGGAAGGTTGCAGGGGCAGAACAGGAATATCCAATAATTCTTCATGGTGGCTGTCACTGCCTTCCTTCGGTTAGGAGCATCTGGCAGCACAAGAGAGGAATTTAACCAATTTTTCTTGTGTGTGTTTCAGCCCTTTCTTTTCAAGCCCATACAGCCTTGACAGCAACTGAGCCATTGCTCAAGAGGAAAATGCCACGCTGATCAATGTTAGTAGCATAAAATGAAAGTCTGTGTGCAAATTTCAGATCCTGCCGCACTTTAAAGACAAATATAGGACCACAGTGTCAAGCAGCTTAATGCTCTTGGCTGTCAGAATGCAATGGCATAATAAGATTCACAATTCTGTAATTAACTTCAGAACTCAGGAGCAACACACACGATATACGATACGAAGGTTTTCATTTCCCGAATAGGCAACTCTAGCTATGCTATGCTTCAACATCCATCATGTTTACTAATCTTAGTCTGACCTCTAGTGAGCTGTCACAGAATAATCAGATTTATCAAACTTGCTGTGCCTTCCTGACAGGCAACTACCACAAAATGAAGTCATTTATCCACATGTTTTTTTTTCTTAAAAAAAAAAAATTATCACCTTTATCAATAGCACAAGAAAAAGAAGAGAGGAGTCAGCTCAGAAGTCGTAAGAGTTTCTTCTGAAAGGGGTTGTGGAAAAGAACACATGATGTGGTAGCAAATTCACTTAATTTACCTTCATATATAAGGTGGGCTTTCCTCCTTCCCCTCCTTTTTTTGTGCAATCAGGAACTGCTGCTTCAGATTTATGAAAAGATTTTTATCTCTGAAGGAGATGAAGTGGAAGTTGCAATTGGTTTAAATTATCAAACACTTAGAAAGACAAAAAAGGGTATAAGTTAAAGCAATAAATATATTTAAAGGACCTAAATAACTTACACTTTTTTTTTTGAGCCATTAGACGCTTCTAGGTTTTTGTCAGCTTTAACTTCAGCGTTTTGTTCATCCTGGATATTCCTTGCTTGGTGTGTTTATGCCAAGTAGTTGCCGGCCAAAATACAATCACTGTGTGCTTGCCTTGGCAATAATGCAAGCACAGTAAAATTTTTATGGATTTCTTTCCCTGCATGAAGATCCATTTATCAAGCACACTGACAAATTAAAAAAAGTAATTTGCCCAACCTCTGAGATATACCCATGAGAGCTCACACTGCTTTTTTTTTTGAAGCCATGCTCTTCTGTAGCTGTAGCCAAGAGGACTGCCGCAGTAACAGTGCTCTCTGTCTATGGCTTTGGTGTACTGTCACCCCCAGTTTGCACAAGACATGATATTTTGACACCTATTGCCATCCTTCTCTCCTTGCAGGCATTTTGAAGTTCGTGGAAATCATGGTTAACCTTCTGGTGCTGATTTGTGTGGGCGCTGCCCAAGCCTCTGTCGCAGGCTTCACCTCCCTTGGCGGCTTAGGCACTGGATCCTTCGGCCTGAATTCGGCCTATAGCCCGTTTGAGGGCACGGAGCTCCAGGAGGTGAGGGAGCTAGATATGCAGTTCACCCAGATGAGAGCCCCTTGCGTGTATGGTGGGGTAGCCTTCAGCCTAACAGCAGCAGTGCTCACCCTGGTCTTCCTCATTGTGGGGGCAAAGCCCATCCAGCAGCTCAGGATGGGGCTGCTGGCAGGTGAATGTGCTTTCAGCCTCCTGGCTGGCGTGGCGTACGTCACAGCGGTCGGCCTCTACCTGCATTTTGTCAGCCAGGTGAACTCGACCGAAGTTTGCAAGAGGCGAGAGAGGCTGTATGCACGCCGTGGGTATACCTCCATGAACTGTGTGGTGCAGGGTGGTGATGCAGCCGTTGGCCTTTTCGGTGTTGCTGCTGCCTGTCTGTACTTTGCCAGCTTTGTGGTCTGCATCCTTGCTATTCGAACCGTCCGGGCCTTCCAGAGCCACACGGCCAAGGTTCAGCACAGCCCCAAGAGCAGCATTAGAGACAGAAGTGTCAGAAGCCACCAGACTGTCCACAAGGCCACTGGAAGCTCCCACAACGTCCAGGCTCTTGCCACGTTAGTGTGAAATCAGCTATGGGACTGTGCCAGAGAGTTGGAGCTTCAGCAAAGGACAGAGACTGAGCATCCCTTGCTGAACAGGCAACCAGTCCACAGCGTATTGTTCTGCAAGGCACTGGAAGTGTGTATTGAATCACCGAATGTAACAATACTGCTATAATGGGATGTAATAAAGTTGACATGAAGAGGAAGTTTTAGCAAGGTTTTTGCATCAATCTCTCAAGCTGGACTCCTGCACTTAAATGTGTTTGATGGTAATGTTTTCATCCTGCACAGAGCAAATCCAAACAGCAATGGGCTGTTAACAGGTCGCAACTGCAGTGCTGCCAAACTTGTGCTAACAACTACCTCTTTTCCTCTCCCATGACAGCAGGAACTGAATGTACAGCCAGAATGTGTAGCCCTCCACAGCTCCTAGGCCTGTCGATGCATCCTGCTGCCTTACGCCACACAGCTCACAAAGCAAAGGACATTCGGGTTCTTTTCTGAATCGCAGCCGACACTACCCTTGTGACCTGTTCCACTTGGGCTAGTGAAGCGTCACATCTTTGAGTCACGGCGGCTGACACATGCCGATCATGCGGTCCCTGAGGAATGCTGCTGGGAGGAACCAGCTGCCATTTCAAAGGCAGCGTCTGGGTCCTCCTCCGGTTCCCCACTGCGCTTTCCCCATCTCCCTGAGCATAGACCAGAACCTGAGAGGCTGCACATTGGTCAGCTTAGTAAAGATTACCGCTTGCTTCTGTAACCACCTAAGTAAGGTTTGGCTTGCTGGCTTCACAGCCTCGGGCAGCAGGGCCTGAGTCAGGAACATGCTGGCTGCCTTGAAGTTTTCACTGTAACAGTGACAGAAAGTACATGCGTCCTTCCAATTCACAAAGCATGAGTGAACAGCAGTAATTGTATGCCCCCAGGGTTGAGAAAATCAATTTAAGAGAACATCTTTCAAGAGTCCTTTGTTTGAGGCAAATGAAATAGATCACTGGTTTTCATAGATGAGGGAGTGCGAAAAAAAGGCTGCTCTTCAAGTACAGAAGATTTGTCAGCCTGAGAGGAGGAACGAGGCAATTTTGTTTCTGGCTGTGCTCATTCCTTCTCAGTTTTGTCTGGCTTGGAGTCATTGCCCAGATGAGGCTTTTCTGAACCATAGTAGAGCTTATTTATTGTATGCGTCATATACACATATAGACGTGCACACATAAATCTTAACGGATTATGAGGTAATATAAACCAAACATGGTTCTGATTAGAAGTGATTACATGAGCCTTTACAATAGGTATTTATCGTTTATATAATACCTCAAACATCTCTTTAACACTTTGAACATCAGCAAGCTTCATAGCCTTATGAAGAGACAGGAGTGAAGAGTTTTTCCAAACTTGCCATGATTCACAGTAGTAATAGAGTCACAAAATTAAAGACTTTGGTTTCTAGCTCTTGGGTTCCTCACAGTCAATCAATTTTGGGTCCCTTTCCTTCTAACAGGAGCAATTTTATGGGGAGAGCCCAAAAGTAGCTGCCAGTTACAGGTGCTTGGTTGGAGACTCCTGAGACCTACTCACTGCCCTGAGCATCCAATAGGTCCCAGTCACATTCTCTCAGCTACTCACTCAGCTGCCTCCCTGCACTCCGTTTCTGTTTCTAACTTCAGCCTCAACTTTATTCCTTGTATTTAATCTAAATCTATCCTCTTTTAGTTTAAAATGGTTACCTTTTGTTCTGTCACTACTGGCTTTGGTGAAGAGTCTCTCTCCAAAATTCTTATAAACCCTTCTTATATACAGAAAGGCCGCAACAAGGTCTCCCCAAAGCCTTCTCTTCTCCAGGCTGAACAGCCCCAACTCTCTCAGCCTTTCCTCATAGGAGAGGTGCTCCATCCCTCTGATCATTGTTGCAGCCCTCTTCTGGACCCACTCTGACACGTCCATGTTGTTTTGTCCAGAACTGGACACAGTACTCCAGGTAAGGTCTCACCAGAGCAGAGTAGAGGGGCAGAATCACCTCCCTTGCCCTGCTGCCCACACTTCTTTTGATGCAGCCCAGGATGCACATTGCCGGCTCATGTCCAGTTTTTAATCCACCAGTATCCCCAAGACCTTCTCCACAGGGGTGCTCTCAATCTATTTGTCACCCAGTCTGTACTGATACTGGTGATTGCCCCAGCCCAGGTGCAGGACGTTGAGCTTGGACTTGTTGGAACTTTGTGAGGTTCGCGTGGGCCCACTCCTCAAGCCCTGAGACCCTAGCAGGTCTCTCTGGAAGGCACCTCTTCCCTCAGGCATACCAACTGCACCACTCTGCTTGGTATCACCACAAACCTGCTGAGGCCCTGGAGCACTGCAAGCAGAGGGGCCACAAAGAAAGCCAAAGCCTGGTGATCTCCAGCTTCTTGAAAGCTTTGTACCTCAATTTTTTCCCTCAAATCAGAAAAAGCAGCTTTCCTTTCATGAAGGGTGAGCCATATACCATCAGAGCAATCCAAACAACTGTGCTTCCTGACTGTAAGAGGACCACGCTTGATATCCTGTAGCCAACTGGAAAATCTTCCCCGTGCAAGCTGGGAAGGTATAACACAAGAGCAGGGATTTTCTGGCACACACAGATGACTAAGGCTGCAACAGGCTGTCATCCCCAGCTGCCACTGCAGGTGGTCCTACCCTCTAGGGCAGATTAGCCTTCCCACCTTCTGCTGCAGACGGCTGTTCCCCACCGCTACCTCTACGCCGTGGCTGCCAGTTAGCGCGGGACAATAATCTGCATTTGGACCTGTAAACAAAGCCAGGGCAAATGGCTTCTATCAGCCCTGCTGTTTCTTTTCACCTTTGCCCACTGCCTGCCCTGTGCCTGCATGCATGCACTGCCTGTAGGCAACCTGCAGGGTCAGCACTGAAAATAAACCCACCTGTTTCTTTGAAGCAGCCCCTCACAGCCCGGTTTCACCTGCAACCAAAGGAGCTTTTTGGTGAGAGGGATCCTCAGGGTGTATCCGGCTTGCCCGCTGTGACCTCCTGTCAGCTTATCATCTGCTGCGAGGGAAACGGTGATAACGAAGGTCAGCTCTGCACTCTCCTGAGAGGTTGTCCTGGGGGTAGACAGAATGGCCTCTTTCAACATAAAAGCCTTAGGGGCCCCACCACTGGTGCAGCAGGAAGCCTTCTGGCATGCCAAGCCTGAACCTCCTAAAAGAGGAAAAAATATGGCCAGCATCCCTGAAGATGCTAGGAAATGGATGCAGGTTGCAGGGTGAACTGGAGCTGCCTGACAGGAGAAAAGCCCCGTTGCAGATGATGGGTCACCAGTGCAAGGTGCTGGGGTGAGCCGAATGGCTCATTTATCTCAGAGTTACCTGCGAGGCTCTCGGGCAGCTCCTTTGGGTTTCAGCCATCACTTTGCACCTCTCTCCTTCAATGCAGCAGCAAACAGCTTGAGAGCAAAGCCTCCAGCTGAGCTTCCCTGCCATTAACTATCCACAGAGGCACCCCTGCCCCACAGAAAGGCCTTGGAGAAAAACAGTATCTTTGAAGAAATGCATCTCCATGCCCTAACCTGGAGAGGGAAACAAAGGACATAAGATCCTTAGGATGACTACATTAAAAACAAACAAACAAAAAAGTCATCCCACCACTGGCTGAGTAAGCTGCCATGAAAATTTCATCGTGATGGATTGTGTACCTTTGAGCACTCATTTTCCGGAACGTCTCCTTTATTCAAATAATAGTTCATAAAAACAGTTCAGTCTGGGGGAAACCTTGTCTAGAACAGAGCAAATAGGCATCCAAAGACACGGGCGTCGTGTTTCAGTGTAAATGGCAAAATCGTTTGAGGTGAGGCTGGAGAGGATATTTACTTCTCCAAATAGGCTTAACATAACCTTTGCATTTATCAGATAATTCAGGTATCTGGAACTCCAAATCCAGCACTGCTGGAAAATCTGCATGAGTTGGTGTGCTGCCCTCCTGCTGCTGACCAGCTGTGAGGAGGAGGGACCTTTGTACCCATCCACAGAGAGGAAATTTTCAAGTAAGCACAAACTACAAGCTTTCCTAATTTAAGAAAAGTTTCCTGTAAGAGATTAAATTTTGTCACAATTTAAGCTTTTTCCATTAGTTCTTCAGAGGAATTTGAATGTATCTGATGTGGAGAAACAACTGGGGACACACACAGGTTGTGCAACAGCAGAAACTGAATTTGAGGCTTAGTGCTAAGAAAAGTCAGGATCTCATTTTACCTGAGAAACTACTTTAAAGTGATGAGAATACATACCGGGATTACAGTACTGAAGAACAGTCTGAATGGAAGTTGGTCTTTCTTAATCCATGTATTTTACTCCCAGTGCAGATTTATCTTCATTAAAATTACTCTTCTGGTAATTTTCCACCGGAACTTACGTTCACCATAAGTAAGTAAAGCCATAGATACACAGCAGACCTTCAATAACTCCAGTCTCTCAGTTACTTTTGCAGCACTTAAGTGTCTCCTTTGCTTTGTCAGGACTCAGTCAGGTAAGTTACTGAGGGGGACTGTGGCCCCGTTGTTTGTGATGGCTGTGACAGGCATCATTACTCCTCTCTTCCACAACATCCACCTCCAAGAGAAGGTGGCGCTCAGCGTATTGCAGCAGCTTAATGCCAGCACAGCATAAAAAGCATCACAGCTGCTCACCATCACCCAGCATAAATAAAACATGAGACTCCTTGCAAGGTCCGCGGGCTGTCGGGGCATTTGATGTAATTGGTTTTGGCGTGTGAGATTGCAAAACAGGCAGGTCGCAGGATGCCCTTCGTTACTACAAATGGTCTATTGATTTCCAGCGATGTCATCTGTGCACAGACCTGCACCTGCTACCGGACTTCCCAAAATGCTCAGGCTGTGTTGAAGAGCTCAAGTGAGGGACACGAATGCGTTTTACAGGTAATTAGTTTTTCAGAAGGATGTAGAAAACTCAGTTATGGTTTGGATATATTACTTTCAAGACTACAACAGAAACTGTATAACAGAGATGTTTG